CTTTTTATAAGAACTTTTACTTCCGGTTCTTCATCCTCTAGTCCTGGAGAACAGACATGTTTCTAAAAAGTTTTAAGTCCAATTTAAAATAAGAAAAGCAAAAATTGCCTTAGGAATAGGATCTGTGAAGCAGAGAGCCAGAGAGTGCCCCTTCTGCCCGCCCAGCCAGATTATGGAGCCAGCAGGCACTCAGGTCCACCGGCCTAACACTTATGTTTCTGCCTCATCATTCTAGGCTTCATGGCCCACCTGTCAACCAAAACCCATTTGGAAGAGGAAAAGGAGGCGGCCCAGCTTCTCACCCATCACCAGTTCAGTTTCTGGGCTGAACTGGGAATGGTGTGAGGTATTTCTACACCCCCTGGAGGTATTTTTGCACCTTCAAGGGACGACAATATTTCCAAGCAAGGCCAAAAGCACATCAGTTCAAAAGTCAGGACGGCTGCTTCCTCTCTTTGGAGGAACTGTTCAAGAAGCGACACACATGGGTGTGTATGTGGGTGGGTGTTGGGGTGGGGCTGTCTGGGTGGGTACTGGCGCTTCCCATCTCTTTGAAAACCCGGGTAGGGTGTGCAGTAGTCCTCAGTGCCCAGTAAATTGACAGTGCAGTCTCCCGTTGGTCTGGTGAGACTACCATAGGAGTTAGTTGCCTGAATGATTGAGAATCATCAAAGAGGGGTTTCCTAATAAAACTCCAGGAAAGATCTCAAATCTCCAGAAGTACTTAAGAGACGGAAAAGAGCGTGGAAGTCAGGAGGTATCGAGGGAAGGGGAAACGGGAGATACCACAGAATGAGCTAACCGATTCCAGAATATGGGATTGGGCAAGGGGAGAAAAAAGAAATCTAAAGCCTTTTTTAGATTTGCGCGTGGATCCTTGGTTGCCGCGCTTGCCCGCGCTAGGTCGGTGGGTCGGCGATGATTCGCTTACGCGCCGAGTCTCCGCGCCGCCGAGGGCTGAGGGCTGCCACAGACCTGGGCTTGTGCCCCTCCCTGAGGGCATCTGCCCGGGGCCCTGCAGATCAGTCGTGGACTCCTCCACCCGAGCCGGCTGCACGGTCCTAGCGGGCGGAAGGGAGTCTGGGCCGATCATGGACACGGATGGAGAAAGAGAGGAGAAGCCCCTGACTCACGAGGCGAGGCCGCTTTGGGGCCCTCGGAGTCGGGGGAGTAGGGCGTGCACTTCCTGGTCGTTTTCTGGGTATGACTGGTCCCGGGTGTCCCAGGTTTCCGCGCTGGGGGTCACGCTCACTGGACAGGGCGCCTAAAGAGATAAGCTGCGGGAAGGGCAAACTTAATAGAGGACGGAAAGCGGGCGGTGCACAGCGATTCAGAGACGGGAGGGGGAGAGAGAAATGCGCCACGCCGCTGGACCCCTGTCCCTTCACCTCCACCGAGGCGCCCGACTGCGGCGGCTGCGGCGGCACGCGCTCGAAACGGGCTGGCCCGCGGGCGCGAAGGCTACACAAGGTCCTCTGGGCCTCGGAGAGCCACAGAGCCTAGGAGTGGGCCCAGGACCTTGGGAACTTTCCCAGGTGGGTCCGGTTTCGGTCTCGGCTCTCCAGCGCCTGCGAACAGGTGCAGAGATGTGCGTGCGTTCTTTCCCCAACCCTCCGGTTTCCGCACGCCTGTAAGCGTCAGCTACACTCTGCAAGCTCCTCTTGGGAAAGTAGAGGCGTCCCCCCTCCCACTCGCAAAAGCCCGAAGAGGAGAGGGGTTCGCAATCCCCGCAGAGAGCACGCTTGGAGATCGCAGACGCTAGGCGCCGGGTCAATCTCAAACATTCTGCCCCTGACCGGGACACAGCAAAGGCTGGTGAGGCAGCCGCTTGAGCTGCCTTTTCCCCAGTCTTCAGGACGTGCGATTTCGGCAGGCACTCGGAGCTCAGGCCACCAGCCTGGACTTCACGGCACCAGCCTGCTCCAAGCCTGCATGACCCTGTGACCTTGTTTGCTCCGCAGCTGGGTGCAGACATTTACGCCTACGGCTTCAGCCAGCAACCTCAGCTAGCTTGGCAGATGAGTGGGGTTACAGGATTTTAGAAACTCTCATTTGACAAAGTTAAGATACATCCAAAAGCTTGAAAATGCAACATTAAAATAAAACATTTCTCAGTTTGTCTTGGCTGAAGGCAAAACTAGCTTTGGGCACCCTTCCCCTACTGCTTCCCGCCAAAGAAAGTCTTGTAGGCAGACTGGTCAGCAAAACTGCCCAGCCCTAAAGTGTCTGCCATTAACACACCTACCTGGATCGCCTGGGCATTAGCTCCGCCAAGGCTCGGCTTTCTTCCTGACTGTGTGATTAAATTAATGACCGTATAAAGGAAAACACAGGGGGAGCTCAAAATTGTCTACATGCGTCCTTCAAAAAATAAGATTCTACACTATAGGGAAGTCTTTTTCAAAAAGCAGTATTTACTTACTGTTTATGTAGATCTAAGTTCATCTTTGAATCCCCAACATGTAATACAACTAGTGAAAGGAAGATTCTGGAAGGATGAGACAGAAACAAAGGGGCATTCCAGGTTTTTTGTTTATGATTTGGTTTTTGTTTTTAAGTTAGGCCCTAGGCAACCTGGGTTGGTTGGTTTTTAAGAAACTTTTGCTCTAGAGATCCATTAGTGTTCCAGGCATGGACAATTTAGTCAGCCTCTCAGGCATAGTGATTTAAGGATCTCTTGCGGCCCACCTTCCATTTACCTCCAAATAGCTTTCTCACTTCTTGCCATCAAATTTACTCCAAAGCAATCTTGGCCTTTTGTCTAGAAAGCCCCCTTTAGATTTAATTGGAGCCTATTAGACCATTAGAAAAAACAATTCTCCAGTGCCAGAAGTGCTTTAAAGATAGCAGAACCTGTCTCACTCATTGTACAGATAAGAAAACCAAAATGCAGGTAAATTAATGATACCAATAATGATGCAAGGTCATACTAGTCATGCAGAGAAGAGTTAGAATGGGAATTTTGGACTGTTCTTCTCATCACACTTTGCTGGGGATTAGTGTTTCAGATCACCTAACTGTTGCCTAGGAAAAGTGAGATCAGGCCTCAAAGAAATGTAGCACAAAAAGTACTTGGATAATCTTAAGAAAGTCAACCTGCTTTTTCCACCAATCACACTATGGATACATCTCTTTGCCTTACCCCTGGTCTCTACCTGCCTAATGGTAACTCGTTATGTAGTCCTCTTAAGATAATGAAGGCTTCAAAACCCTTTTAGGGAAAACCATCGAAGGCCTGCAATGAGACCTTGTGCAAGTTTCACATTTCAGACCTTTTCAGAAATATCCTTCTTCTGACATAGGGGAGGGTTGGCAAGATGTGAAGGAAGGAATTACAAATGGGAACGAACACCTCTTGTGATGGATCAAACAGTGTAATATTGGTTTCTAGAGCACCTATGGAGTGACTCTGAAGATGTCCATGGATTAAGTACAAGCTACCCTAAGACCTAAAGGATCATCATTCATTTGGTTTTGCATCTAATGGTTTCTGGACATACCACATACACCTACATACATACGCTCTGTTTCAGAACTGTTGTCACTATATGAAGAGTACAGAGGGACATGTCATAAGACGAAGGGCAGGGAGAGGAGGAAAGTTCTCAAGGTCTTCTGTATTGTAATGCTCCAGGGCTAGTTTTTTTCCAGAGGCTGTGCAGCTGTTCAAGTCTGTGCAGGGAGAACTGGGCCAATACATACACTACCATGGCCATTTCACCTTGGTTTCTAAAGAAGCTCTCCATAGAGTCTCTTAATGGGTAATGACAGAAAGCTGAAGGGTTCTAGAGCACAAGATACTCTTCCATGTAAGCATCACTAGTAGAACCTAAAGTGGGCTTTTCACCTGGTCTCCCTGATCCAGGTCTGAAAATTATTTGTCTTTGGCCACTTGTGAAAATGCTAGTTATCCTGCTGCTGAAAAGAATGATGACATCCCAGGGACAGGTTAGCTTCATGGCAGGCATCTTTGCTTAGATGATTTGTCCTTTGATCAAGAAGCTCAACACTCTCCAGATAAAGATTTTCCAAATAATAATCAAACTTTGTCTTCTCACTTGTAGGCTCAAAACTGGCTTAGAGTAAATAATACAAGTGGGGTAGGGTTTATCGTTCCTTTGTTCTGCAGTTTCTTCCCCTTCTTTTCGGGCACTCAATGAAAATATATGGTATATACTCAGAGTGTAGCCCTTAGCTACAAAAAACATTTTAAAACACCTTCCCAATAATTGCTTTGAAGAAAATAGTCATTTATTGTCAAAGCATCCAACATATCCAGATAATCTATATAAAGTTTAATAAATCTTTCCAGGGATAAAAGAAACACATAACTATTCAGACTCCATTTCACTGGCACAAAATTACACTTTGTATTAAAAGGAAATACATATTTACACAATGATGACATTCTTCATTGAAGTCCATAATCATTTCATGATACATGCACTTCCCCCTGGAAACTTAAACTGAATGGTGACCCTCTTTTTATTTTGTTTTGCTTGTTTTTGTAGGAACACAAACTGTAATCAAGAGATGCAGAAAGCATCTCACCCTCCTCCTTTACTTTATATCTAAAATAAATTTTGCCCTTACATATTATTCCATCTAAATCGTAAGTGCTTAATAATTTAAGTAGAAACGTATGACAAATGCATCAATATGTTGCAATATATGACATTTAAAAAAATGTACTGTCTTGGGGAAAGTGAAAATACGTGCATTCAAAAGAAAACCTCTTAAACACCCCACCCAATCAAAAATCCACCATCTTGTCTCGTGTGTGTGTGTTTGTGTGTGTGTGTGTGTGTGTGTGTGTAGTGTAGGTCACGGGTAAACACTTGGATGTAAAGGTTGGGGGGGCAGAGCACGTGTTTGAGTGTGTGTGTGTGTCTGGGTGCGATGTTTCAGGTCACAAGGAGGTGGTGGATGTCCTCGTGTGTTTGCTCCTGCAGGGCTCGACTGTGCGTGTGCGCGCGTGGAAAGCTGGAGTCCTTTCCGTGTCAATTATGCGAGGTCATGTGCCTGGAGAGGTGGTGGCGCTCCCTGAAGGACTCGTTGCAAATGGGGCACTTGAGTTTCTCCTCCCGTCTTCGTTTCACCAAGGGCTCCATGGCATACTCCTTTTTGTGATGCGACCTCATGTGGTACACCAGGTCGGAGGTCATCCGGAAGGAGGCATTGCACTTGGCGCACCAGTTCTGCGCGGGCAGACACAGAGAGGTGAAGGAGGGCGGCAGCAGCGTGAGCGCCGAGGGCAGCTGCAACTGCAGGGGCCCCGCGGCCGCAGCCGCCGCGGCCGCCGCGGCGGCGGAACTCTTGGGCCAGAAGGCGGGGGCGTAGAGGAGCGCCGAGGGCAGCTGCAACTGCAGGGGCCCCGCGGCCGCAGCCGCCGCGGCCGCCGCGGCGGCGGAACTCTTGGGCCAGAAGGCGGTGGCGTAGAGGAAGGGGCTCTGTTTGGGCAGCCCGCCGCCGCTGCCGCCACCGCCGCTCGGCAGAGACCCGCAACCTCCGTTCAGGTCCGCAGCTCCTTGGAGCTTCACGGCCAGAGCATCGGAGGCGGCGGGGTACAGTCTGGTGGGGCCCACACCGTCTCCGGGGTGGCAGGGCTCGAGCGCGCTCAGCTTCTGGCCCAGCACCAGCGGGGACAGCTGAGAGAAGGAGCGCGCCGGCTGCGAGAAGGCGCTTTTGCGCTCGTCCGACGCTGCGCCCTGGCCGCCGCCCGCCCCGCCCGCGGCTCCAGCGCCTGCACCGCCCCCTGCGCCGTTGCCGCCCGCACCGCCCAGCTGCTGCACTGAGGTGAAGGCGCTGCCCCGCGCCGGGCTGCCGCTCTCCAGCCGGCCGGGCAGCGCTCCCCCGGGCCGCGGGGCCAGCAGCTTCTCGGAGCCAGCCGGCGACGCGGCCACGGGCGTGGCGGAGCCGCCGCCGCCCGCGTCCTGCTCCTCGGCGGCCGTGCTCCCGCCGTCGGCGGCCGCCTCCTCCTGCACACCGGCCGCTCGGGCCGCCTTCTTCACCTCCACGAAGGCGCTGCGCTTCGCCTCGCCTGTCTCCGGGCTGGGCGGCGCGAACAGGCGGCTGTTCTCTTCCAGGCCGAAGTAGCTGCCCGAGGCGCGGTACTGTTGGGGCGTGCACACCAGGTCCTCCTTGGAGGCGGGCGGGGGCCGCTCGGCGAAGCGGCCCCGACCCCCCACCAGCCCCGCGCCGCCACCGCCGCCGCCGCCGCCGCCGCCGCCGCCGCCCTCCGCCGCCTCCTCCGGGAATTTCCTCTTCCCTTTACCCACGCCCGCGGCGTTGCCGTCGGGACTCAGCTCCGCCCCCTGGTGGTCACTGCAGCCGCTGAGGCTCCGCACTGGGGAGCAGCTGCTGGCTCCCCCGGAGTTCTCCAGCTCCCGCGCCAGGTTGTGAAAGTCCGTGGACGGCTTCGCGCTGCTGCCGCCGCCGCCCGCCGCAGGCGGATTACCGCCCTCGGGGGAGGGGGCCGGGTAGTGGTGGACCGGGCCGGCTTTGCAGAACTTGGGGCTGGGACCCAAGGGTGCCTCCTGCGGCTGCGGCGGCTGCTGGTCCTTGCCGCCGCCACCGCCCCCGTGATCCTTGGTGCCCACGCCGCTGCCTTGCTCCTCTCGGGGGCTCACATCAACGCTGTGAAGTCTCTTGGGGCAGCGGAAGCGCAGATGCGCCACATAGGGAAACTCAAACTGGAAACGTTGGCTGCATTCCAGGCATGTGTAAGGGGACGACCCTGCTTAGTGAGCAAACACCACATACACACAGTTGCGCGCGCGCGCGCGCACACACACACACACACACACACACACACACCACATGATTACTCAGCATCGTCTCTAGGCCAGTTTGCCATCACCCCCTTCACAAATCCACCTTCGCCTCTCAGGGCCTGAGTGCCTGAGTACAAAACATCGTGAAAGACCCGATCTAACTTTCCCTCCTGATTTGGGGGGAGTGCAGTCATTAAGCCAAGCGTGCCCCGAGTTATCCTCACCTAGCTGTCCCAGCTTCATTCCGGACTATATCTCAGAAGCTCCCTATGAGGCATTCCAAGGGAGGAAAGGCGCGCCGAGGCGCCAGAGTGAGCCCCGCCGCTCCCTGCGTCGCTCCCCCGCTAGCTAAGGGCCCAGACGCAGGTCGAGAGCCAACCTACCATTCATTTTGCTGTGGGATCTAGAGGGGCAGAGCAAGAGTAACTCAGTCAGTTCTTTCCCGTACCAAACTAATAACTCCTCATCTTTGGCAATCCTGCGGAGAGAGCGGTAAAACAGCTGTCCGTTTTTTATGTAGGCTTCAAGGTTCTGCTCCTCTTTATCTCTGGCTGATTGGACCAAACGCAGCCACATCAGACCTTCTGAGGAACCATTCGCCGCTGAGGTGTCTACCTACAGTTTAGAAAAAAGAAAGAATACAAGAAGGAAGGGGATGAGGGAGGGAGACTCTTGTGAGAGAATGAAGCCACAGGAGCCAGGGCCATTTCCTCTGTTATTCTTTCCCAAAGAATTATCTGAGGTCAAGCTTCCAAAAACTTGACCCGAGTTAACATCCATCCTCATGTTTGTGGCCGGCAGGCAAGATAATGTTCCTAGAAAGCTGCATCAATTATGTAGATTATTTAAGTCGTCGTATATTGGTTGAACACCATATTAGCAAATTTCTTCTTACACTTCAAATTAGTGTTAACCTCCTGAGAATTGATTGCTAAATTATCCCACGTTGCAAAAGTATGGGGAATTTTCTTTGATTTAGAAGTAAAAAGCAGGCTTAGGTTTTAAAAATTATTCCGTGGCATTCACTCATCTTCCTAATTTTGGCTTAAACAATTAATAGTTCTTTGTAAAGAAAGAATAGGAAGACTAGGAGGACTTTTCACACTCAAACATATGACTTTAATGATGTTTCATTGTCAAAACATTAACATTTTTATTTAAATACAAACTCTAGGCACTAGCTAGCTTAACCTGAAAGAGTAATATTCCAGGGAACAAGAGGCCTCTGGGATTGGAAGGCAAATGCACCCAATATTTATAATAAAAGTACTTATAGCAAGTACTTAGTATGCAAATAGCCTCAACCCTAGTGAAACCTCCCAAAATGTTAAGGAAGTGGTGTTCATCTCCAGGAAAGCCCAGAACTGAGGCACTGATTTAGACATATCTGGCATTCAAAATCAAATTTTGTCACTTATTTCGGAAAATCAGTTGACAATACTTTTGAGTTTAATTTTCCTTTACTAATTTTTGGTGTGAAAAATAGAATGGCACGTATCATTGCATTTTCTACATTCAGAACCTGTCTCAGCTTGTCATTAGAATGATTCTTAGTCCATTTTCAAAAGGATATTACCTTCATAGCCCTACACAGCATCGGCCAAGACTTACCCGGAAGATATAAGGGACCGTTCTCTTGTCGGTGGACTTGAGAGCTATGAAAGCTATGCTGTCGTACAGGGAAGTATGGCTCAGGACGCAGGGACCAAATATAGCATTCTCAGGGATGTCGCAGGTGGTGTAAACGCTGGTAAAAATATCTGTCAGACATTGTTGGACAGCTTTGGCATCTCCATCCCAGATGCCTCTCTGGATGCCCGAATCCTCCATCACTGAAGACAGATACACAGGACAATTAAAGCGAGTTACATTACTCCTTTTGCCTCTATGAATCCAGGCAGAACGCTTTGACTACTAGACAGATTTTTCTTGAATTTGCCTGGTTTTTGCATCGCTCTTATTTCAAAAATAAAGCCAATGGCAGATTAAATCTGGCATATTACAAGGATGCCAACGAAGAGTACTTTCTTTTCCTCTAAAAATTATTTTAAAAAATTGTGATGGGGGAGCTTAGAGACGACTGACTGCTAGAGAGAAAGAAAAACTGGGCTAGGAAAGAGAAGATCGCTTTTTTCATTACCTTGGGGGAGGATGGGGGGAGGGAGAAAGAAGGGAAGAACAATAGGATTTTTTACTAGCCTATAGACTTTCCAGACTGAGAGAAACTTCTAACCCTTGGGAGAAAGCTCCTCTCTTCTACTCTTACGTATTGAACTGGGCGCCGGGGAGCTGATTTTATTCTATTTTTTCTTCCAAAGAGGGGAGCAGCATTTGCGAGCAGGCGGAGACAGCGGAGCATGGCGAATGGATTTCAAGTAGAGTGTCAGGGCCACTGATTCCATGTCAGCTAGCCTTTCTCTGCAGCCTACTAGAGGGGACGTGTGTCTGCTCATTACCATAATCCAACACTGTCCCTCCGAGGGCTTTAATTAAAAGCAGCAAGCAGAGGTAATTATTTTTTTCTCGACATGCTTATTTATGGATGAGGGTGAATCCCAGTTACCTTGTTGTACAAGGGGGTGGATAGAGTCGCATGTGCCTCATGAAGTGTGCAGGTATAAGGCAGGACTGAAGGGTCCCCAGTCTGAAATACCGCGTGTGTAATGATTGGTGAATGCTCACTCCCCCCAGATAGGACCTTGTCTGGGCAAGAGGGGGCAGCCCCGCTTGAGTAGACCTCGGTGGGCTCTCCAGCTGTTTAATCCGCAGTAATTCAGAAAGTGATGCCCCGATGGAGAGCTCTCTATTATTAAGCTGTCATAAGGAGACATTTTCCTTTCTTTGCCACTGGACAGCCCCCCCCACAAGACTTATCATTAAACAAACAAACAAAACAGATATTTAAATTTTAAAGTGGCTTTAAACTAACTGCATTGTTTACTCTTTCTGACTGATTAAAAGATTCCTCCAAGTTGGTGTTTTTCCCTAATAACGTCTTCATAGGCAGTTATTTAAGTATATTTTGTACAATTTAAGTAGCAGGAAAGGGAAACCTAATTCTTTTCCTCAGAAGCTGTTCTTCCTGGAATAATATTAGTCATGTTCATTTTTATCTTTATGTCTATTAACCAATTAATCTTGCCAATGTGATTACAAGGTAGTGCTTTTATTTATTTTTTTCTTTCCAGCTAACAGAGCATGAAACTTTGGTCAGCCTCCTTTCCATTCACTCTGCTACATCCCCCAAATGTTAAGTATGGGCTGTATATGCCAGGCAGGAATAAGAGAAAATATCCATACAGTAGAAACTTACTTTATTATGCTACAGCATCTATCCCTGGGCATTTTACCCAACACGAGGTAGCCCTTCTGATTTCCAACTGCAAATTTAAATACATTTAAAAAAATCCCTCAGAACCTCCTTTTCAACGGAATCCTATTCTCTCCTTTTCAATTTCCTCAATTCAGCGTTTTATGCTCCAATTTTTCTCTTCCTTTTAAAAGTCTCTTTCACACAAGCGTTTCATTGTGCCGAGAGGTCGCCCCGTCACTTCGGGCAACAGCAGGGACCAATCATTAAAATGCAGTTCTACCTAACAATACGGTGAAAAGATCCTCGCTACGCCGCGCTAATAAGGGTTCGCGTCGCCGCGGCGGCCGCCACGAGCCTCGAGTCGGTCACAATACAGCTGGGCGAGAGCCTGGGCTCTGCTGCCCGCGCGCGGTCGCCTTTGCCACCTAACCTTTCACAGTTCTGCATCCTCCTCTAAGCCCGGGTTCTCAGACGCCCGGGGGATCCTCCCAGAGCCCGCTGGGCTCGCCGAAAGCCGTCGCTGCCGCCGGCCGCTCGCCCTTCCCCGTAGGCAGGCATTGTCTGGCGGCCGCGCGCTCCCCAGTCGCTGGCTTCATCGCCAAAGGGCTCTCCACCCCTCCTCCCTTTGTATAACCCTATTGGCAGTAGAGATCCGGTCAATAATTATCCCCCCCGCCCTTTCTGGATAATGAGAAGACGGAGGACAAAATGTTCCACTCTCCCCACCAAACCTGCCTTCCTCCCATCCTCCTCTCCCATCAATGCAAATAGACTTACCAGGAAAAAGGTCAGGATCAAATCGCCCAAATAAGGCCACCTGGAACCGGGAGATGCAATCGAGTGTTTCTTTTGCCTACTGTATCAATGTATTTCCATGTCAAGAGGTGCTGGTGTTGCTATCTTGTAGGCTCTGCCTAAAGAGAGGAGAGAGAGATGGAGAGACGTGGAGAGAGAAATGAGGGGAGAGAGAGAGAGAGAGAGAGAGAGAGAGAGAGAGTCTCCGAGAGAAAGAGAGAGAGAGAGAGAGAGAGAGAGAGAGAGAGAGAGAGAGGTACAGAGAGAGAGAGAGAGAGAGAGAGAGAGAGAGAGTTGTACAGATGGACTCGATGCAGTGACTGACTGGCACACAGACACACACTTTTTGTTTGCTGCACATAATCTGCCCAATGACGCGTGACAGCCCACGTCCCCTCCCTTTAACTCTTTGCTGGTCTGGGCGCTCCCTACGGCGGCGCCGCCTGCCTGGAAACCTTCTCTCCGGCCTGCCCGCGCCCCGCAGCCCCGAGCGCTTTCGCCAAGTGGCAACGCCTCTCCGAGCGCGGCCCGGCCCGCCTCCTCCTAAAGCCTCGGCCCTCTGAGAGTGGTGGTGGTGGTGGTGGGAATCAGTTTTGGGGTCGGAAAGGGAAGTACCAAAAGACCTGGAGAGGGCCTTTTCCCGTTTCGCTTGGCACCTGGAGAACCTCTGGCAGACAGCTGGCCACTCAGCGCACGCACGGATCCCGCGCGCATTGCCTGAGTCTGAGTTCTGTGAAGGGAAAGGGGGCTGCGGTTTAGCCCCGAGGGATTCTCTGGCCCTCCAGCCGCGGCTGACATGAGCAGCTAGTTGCCTGGGGGTGATAAACCTGCGTCAGCTCTCGCCAGGAGCGCTCACACTACCAAGCCCTCACGAGCAAGATTCAGAAAGGGTGCGCTTTGGTGAGAACTTGGCTCAGTCTTTCCTTGAACACGGAGATGGGTAAGAGAGATGGAGTAGGGACGCCGCCAGACCTCCGAAAGGGATTTACAAGGGTCTTTTGGTCCCAGCACACACTTACCTGGGCGCGGGAAGGGGTGAGAAGGGGACTGGTGGGAAAAACTCAGGTTAAGGGACTCAAGCTTTTCCGGCTCTTCCGCCTTCAGCCTGGTGCTTTCTGCATAATCCCCAAGGGGGTCCCTTGCCGGGGAGGCAGGTAGTCTAAGACCCCCCAGGGGTGGGAAGGGTGAGTTAAAGTAAAAATTATTACCGAGATGGGCTCCGGAGAGCTTTTCACGTCCAGCAGGTGGTGGAAGAGTGAATGCAGTGGACGACGCCGTCTCGGGAGCCTCGTTTGTGCGCTAAGCCACTTAGAGGCGCTGGCTGGCCCCTTTAGCGCAGCAGTTGATGCTGATGACTTGAGGTCTTTAACAGCCTGAAAGTTGACTCCTTCAACAGGGGCCCGCGACACATTTTCGCTGGGGGATCTCAGGGTTCATTTTCGACATTTAACTCTCTGTTCCTAAGGGAAGAAAGACCTTTGAGTGGTATAGACAGTCCCACTGCTTCAGCCTCATCCACAACACCACTACGTTGAAGAGGGCAATCAGTTAGCTTTAGGATAAATCGGACGTGCAGCCGCTACAGTGCACAAAGCAGAACCACGACTTGAGAAGACAGCCTAGTTTTTAGCCAGTGTTTAAATAAGGTAAGTGGATTGGGGGTTGGCAAAGAGGCAGCCTAAAAGGAAAAGGTGTGTGCAATGTTACTCTGATGCTCCTGTGGCTCAGAGACCTCCCTCCGGAACCCAGTGAGGCAACCAGGCACGGAGCGCCTTTCTTCGCCGGCGCCTACCATACAAGGAAGCCTGGAAAGCATTTTGCAGAGGAGAAAAAAAAAAAAAAAGTACGAGGAATTTCCCACCAAATTCTCCTTTCTCTCTCTCTGCCTCCCTCCCACCTTCTGTCTCTCTCTCTCCCTCCCCTTCTCTTTTCATCCGGCCCCCACATAAGTTCTGAGTCCTTCTGACCAGACAGAGCTGTTGTCTAGGATTAAGCTGGGACTTGGAGAAAGAAGAGTTGCAAAATCCCCATATACTAGGAAGTAAAGGAAGAATTCTCCCTTAAATGTTCAGGTTAGCTATTGAGTTTTCAAAGAAACCTTCTCAAACTACAGTTGTCTTTCATCTTAACATATCATTTCTCTTATGCACATGTGCACACTTTAAAATAGTTTGCTCAAGGGCAACTCATGTAATGACCAAAGCTTAATGCTGAGGGCTCTCACATGTCTCTATATAAGAATCTGCAAGGTATTTAGCCACCAATTGGCTTATACCTGGATGCTCCATTCATTACTCCCCCCATCTCACTCACACACATGCATTCCCCCATCACTTGTTTAAAGAAAGGGTGATGGGATTAGAAATGTCATAGGAATTGCCTTAAACATCTGAAAAATAACTTGCAGTGTTGAAGAATTCACTTAAGTGAATTCAGAGAAGGAAAAAGTAAGGGCAGGTGACACACAGGTGTAAACAACAGCAAATTAAGATTCAGAAGCAGCCATAAGAGGGTTGTGGTCCCTTAGAAACTATAGCAAAGGTGTGTGTGTGGACAGGGGGGAGGAGTGCTATGTCTTCGAACCTAATTCCTAAACTGTAGAACGAAACACTCCTTAGGGCCTTCTTTTGCTTTTTGTTTGTTTGTTTGTTTTTAAAAGAGAATAGGAAGTTTGCCTTTCCCAGGAAAAGTCATCAGTCCATGCATAGACACTTTTTAAAAA